TACAGGAGAATGTAAGCTGTTTAAACACCAGTTTGGTGATCTTGATGCTGGCCAGGAGAAAGGCCAAACTGCCCTTCTACCTCAACGCCCTGCGGGAGAAGGAGTATGCAGAGAAGTACCCAGGCTGCCTGCTCAACAACTTCCACAGCCTTCTGCGCTTCTGGCAGCGCCACTACCTCAATAAGGACAAAGATAGTACGTGTCTGGAGAATGTAAGTAGCTCTCACTGTTTTCTGCAGACAAATGCTTTGTACTTGTAATGTCATGGCAGCAGCGTTTCACATTAGGGGACCTTGGTCCATTTCCAAATACACTTGATCCCAAAGTCCAGTTTATTTTGATCAGTGTGAACACAAATGAACTGGACTTGTGCACTGTACCCATAGTCAGCTTGAAGAGGTGGCCTCGAGCATGATTGTGTGTACTTAACGTGTACACACAAGTGTACAGTCAGTGGGAGATCCGAACACAACTATGCTCAAACAAGAAGTGGGCTGCTATGTGACGACATAAGTATTCAACTCTGTCAGTTAAAATTATTAAGAAACGTGGCTGCAAAAGGATCTCTGAGGTGTAATGAAGAAGTAACATGCTTGCTCAAAATTTGGGCCAACAAAAACACACAGACAACTGGATACTGCAACAAAAACTCTGATATTTATGGAAGTATTTGTCAGTATTTACATGCTTGTGGAACAGAAACAAATGTCACCCAGCTGAGAACGCCAATGGTTGCTTCTTCTTCTTCTTGATGGATTGTTAACCAAGGATGTGCATACCCACTGTATTGGACCATGTACATATGCAAGTGTACTGGGCCATGGAACAATGCTACTAATGTGAAGGCAGATGAGAGGGGAGGGAGGAGCAATTGTGCTCAGGCGTGGCATGAAACAACTGTGCCTAATGTGAAAATGCTTTAAAGTAGTGATTGATTGATACTGTGAATTTGTGATTTAACAGAGTGCGCTTGTCTTCACCCCCCCCTTGCAAATAGCATCTCGTCATTAAACTTAACTATATGTTTTTAGGCTGTTAGTTTTTTGTGCAAATGTACTATTTGTCTTCCTTAGTACAGCTCATGGCTAACCTATTAGCCATAATGACTTTATAAGGTGATGTCAGTGTTGAGTTTGTGCTTGTTCTGCTGCCCCTAAGTGGCCAATAACAGTAATCATGGCTGCCTTAACATTAACTACGTTTCTAATGATTTAATAAACGTGTATGCACTAGAACTTTCCTGAATGCCATTTTTTGGACTCTGGAGCTTTGGTAGCAGTAGTCGGCTGAGATGGAGCTGCAACACATTGTTGACTTCATCAAGTCTGTTAAAGTGATGGCTTTCTGTGATCCAGACCTAGGGAACTTTTTATCATTACCTTCCTCAGGGCTTCAATCAGTGCTTTGTTCAGACATATCCACAATTATGAACAAGAAAAGTGTGCAGGGACATCTAAGGGCAACAACAGAAAGAGCTACTATAGAACTATTCACTCTTAGGGTATTGTCACCAAAATCACTTCATACATCACTGGTGTTCTGTTGGTTATACCACAATGCTTATTTTGTGTGTAAGAGTGAAATTATTTAATATTTTTGTAGTACTTGTTTTCCTCGTTGCACTGTGTAGACAGTCCCTACACAGCTGCCTTACTACAGATAGACAGAGGCATCCTGTGTGTTAGAGCAGCATTTCATTTATACTTTGAATCTGTGGATATTTTGTCCTAGTATTAGTCTTACTTTATTAAATTTTGATAGTTATTCCTCTGAGAAAGTCACCGTTTAGATTTAGAATATGTGTTCGGTCTGAGTAACGCATAATTGAAGATTTGTTCCAATGTTTTCAGAAATGTGAGTAGCAGTGGACCAAGCTGTCTCCATCAAGTTTTCTTTCCTCTTCATTATTGGACTAGATCTGCATCAACATTGAAATTTCCTGCAGTTTTGAATATTTGAATACCGAAACAGAAAATTGATTACTTACCCAAAGAAGGAACAGCCATCTATTTGGGTCCAGCCCTAGTATATATACAATATTTACTCGTATCTGGTTTGTAGCTAAAGTTTAGACTGCTGTAGATGCAGGTTCATGGATGGTTGATCACTTTCATGCTATTTTCATTTACTGTATATATTGTCAACTTATTTATATAAGCATTAGTGCTGATCCAGTAGATATGCTAGGCTGATTTGAGTATGCAGACTAACTGTCCCTTACACAAGAAGGCTAATTTGACAGCTAAATCCAGCTATTAGCCATTGCCACTTGCACGCTTTTAACTCATTGAATACTGTGGTTAGCTAGTTAAGACGCTGTCAACAGCAAGCAATAAATCAGATCGAGTCTGTTTTCCCTCCTTAGAGCTCCTGTATCCCCTTCAGCTACTGGAAGGAGACGGTGTCAGTGCTGCTGGGCTCAGACAGGACTTCTCTGTGTGCCATAGCCAGCTACATTGACGAGCCCTTCATGGATGTGGACAGAGACCTGCTGGAGGACTGACCTCCAGCGTGTGCACTCAGTGTGCTGGGGGTGGGACAGGGCGCAGGGTCACAGGGAGCATGGACACCTAAAGCTGGTGATGACTTCGCAGAGCTGAGCCATCCAGGAGCTTTGTGACTGCATCCTGGATGTAATAGTTCAGCTATTTGCTGTCTGTACCGTTGCATGGAGGCCATCACCTAAGATGTGTGGGGACGTAATTTACCCGGATGTTATCTAAGTTATTCCTCTTCTTCAAAGGAAACCTGTATGCCCACCCCCGATTGCCCACATCATGTCACAGACTATTAGGGGACCTGGGGAAATGATACTTGCTTTGGTTGTTTGCTTTAGGTGAAATTCAGATAGAGCCTTTTTATATAACCTATACATAATTCTATGACAAAATATGTATGATTCAACAAATTATATGTTAGAAAAAAGACACTTTTCACATGGACTTGGGTTAGAAATGGCCGCAGTTTACACTGTTGCCCAGATGTGCAGGTCAGTGGTGCATCACAGGGCTGCAAGGAGTCAGCAGCCTCACTCTCCCACTACCTAACCCACACTCTGACTTCATGCCACTCCACTGCCTGACCTGTGGGTGAAACTGGCTATATCAGAGATTTTGCAGGGGTGTTCTCAGTGAACAGAATTTTCATTTCACCTGTCTGTAGGCCTGTTTTATTAAGTGGCTGTTGTTGATTGGTGCTTTCTGGCTCTACTTGGCACATCTAGGTAGCTTGTGAGCCAGCTGACGTTTCACAAAATCACACGGGGTTCCGGTCAGCTGAAACCATCCACTCTGTTGTGGCTTCAGAAGCTTCTCCCAGGGAGTTGGTGTCTTTACCAGATTTCCTTGCTGCTTTATTTTTGTCTTGTTGAATACAGTGATTTTTAGCTCTGGATAAACTGTAGAATAAAACATTGCACAGATTAAAATTGTTTTTATTGTTTATTATACTTTAACACTTTTGTTTTGTAACAAAAATTGTATCCATGCTATGACAGATGCTTTGGGAAGAGAATAAACTATGCAGGCACTTGTGTTAACATACCACTTTAATTATTCCACTCCACTATGGTTTTATATGTGTTGCCCTTGAGCCTGGCATCATCGTTATTGGATTAAAAGTGTACCGCTTTCTCTGGTCTATCACAAACTACAAGCTGAGAATGACAATCTTCTTATGTGATGGCTTTTTTTTTTTTTTTTTTTTTGCATGGCACCATTTGATCTTTAGTCTGGATTGAGAAGGACCAGTGAGCACAGCTGTGCTGATGGTGTGTCTGTGGCCTGAATATGCAGCTGTTTGGAGGACAAATTAAACAGGCCAAACCTGAGATCAGTACAAATGAATGAGCTACCTCATTATTTATCCTAACGCCATACAGATCAAACCAATTCTAATGGCAAGTGTACAGCTTTCCTCCCAGCACATCACGAGTCGTCTCATGTTCATTTGAATGTATAAGGGCATTTAATACAGTTGGCCCCTGATGCCATAAGTTACTAGTGCTATGTTGCCTTGGGATGCAAACATCCTTTACACTTTTCAAGCCTTTTATTTGCTTAATACCTAATTGCCAGAAATGTTTTGGGGCTGTCATTTCAGCATGTCTTGATGGGTGTGCACATACTTTTGAGTTTGTTCATCTTTTGTGGTTTGCAGTTATGTCCATGAAAGTGAATTTTACAAGTGCTTCTCTTTCACAAATGCTGTTTCTTTGCTGCATGTCTGAGATAATTGCGTGGGTCCTTGATGACATGATGCGAGTTCACACAGCATAGTTCTGCAGTGGTGTTACATTCTTATTGACCGTGTGTTTGTCATTATCATTTATCATCAGAGTCCCCTCTTATCACTCCAGTCATCCACCATGGAAGTCAGTGAGGCTATTGCTATAGAAATGTGAATGTTGTCAGTGCTCTTTCAGAGCAACTATTTAAACAATCGCCTGACTGCTGTAGCTTTATGACCTGAATTTCTGACAGTGATCCTTCTGTAGGATGCACAATAGAACTGATTCTCAGCTGTTACGACTATGGTGTGATGCTCCTAGTAGGCCTTCATTAATTAGTTTGTATAAAAGATGAACTATTATTCTCTTGGCCAGGAACATTCTGCATAGAGTTTACTAGAACGCCACTTTTAACATATTTTGACTTAACTGTAGACTAACATTACTACAGTAATGTTTGGCATGATGAGGGTATCAGACAATTTACAGCCCATTCAAAACTCATACCATGTGGTGCTTTTTCCAATGATACCTCATCAGTAGACTGCATCTTTGGAAATTTTGTTGAATCATTAAGTGACTTGGAGTGGAAAAAATATTGTATGAAATTGGAATCATTTCAAAAACTTTTTTTTTGTTATTTAAACTCCCTCATGGTTGTGTTAACTCATCTCTGCAGACTTTGAAACATGAACTCTGCTCTTTGGTCAAACAGGATTACAACCAGTTTCACACTCTATCCCTTAAGCACTTCTGTTTCCAGCATCACCTTCATGTTCCTTCTCTAATGCTAGTATTAAACGTTTTCCTTAACAGCTGTTTAATAATATAATAAATTGTTCTTTAGACCGCCTTTGTTGGATTTCTGTTCATCACATTGTCAAACGGGGGGAGCCTGAACTGTAAAAGTTTAAAAGACTTTATTTAAGTGCATCCAAAGTTGAGCACAGCTGTTGCAGCTGGCTGGCTGTGATATGTTTGGCTGCAGGGTCAGCCTCGCCGCATCACTCAGTAAGCTGAAATACACAAGAGAGGGGTGTTTATTAGCAACCACATACACAGTGTCATGGAGTTATGACCACACCACAGATCACATGAGAAGGCTATGTGAGGTCATCTTCAGAGGATTACATCCAGGCTCTTCTAAGTATAGTCTTATGAAGTCTGCCGGCTAATTTTAATAAATTCTTCCAAAGGTCAGACAATCCTGCATCATACTGTAATATAAAAAGTATTTTAGTTTACCAACCTTGCTACCTTGGTCACGGGTGCGGACACGGAGCTTGTTGACCTGAGATTCTGCCATATCGGCTCTCTCCTCTGCATCGTCAAGCTCGTGCTGCAGCTTCCTGTACTTAGACAGGTTGGTGTTTGCCTGCTCTTCCTGTAGAGAGAAGGATGCCAGGAAAACTATTCAGTGTACAGCAAAGTGAAAGGATGTTCTGGTTCTTCAGCGTTGTCCCCCACTATATAAACCACTCCAGTTATGTGCTTAAGATGATCATTTACCACCAACAATACATTAATGCTAGAGAACTGACTGAACTCACCGCTTCTTCAGCCTGTCTTTTGTAACTCTTCACCTTGACCTGCAGCTTGTCAATGAGGTCCTGCAGGCGGACCAAGTTCTTCTTGTCTTCCTCAGCCTGCATAAAACAGCACAATGAGCACCAACCTCACATATACTATATACACCTGGCAACTCTAGGTCCAACAGCAGTAGTTTACCTGGTAAGAGAGCTCTTTGATTCTCCTCTCATACTTGCGGACTCCCTTCTGATACTCCTGGCTCTTCCTTTGTTCAGATTCCAGTTCATTCTCCAGTTCTTTGACCTACCAGGTGGACAAGCAGATGGTCAGCCAACTTATGGCCCATTACAAGGACATAACCCATTGTAGGGATTATCAGGTGATGACTACATAACCATTTAGTCTCAGCCCTTACCCTGGCCTCCAATTTCTGGACCTGCTTTTTGCCCCCCTTTAGGGCGATCTGCTCAGCCTCGTCCAGGCGCATCTGCAGATCCTTGATGGTCTGCTCCATGTTCTTCTTCATTCTCTCCAGATGGGCACTGGTGTCCTGCTCCTTCTTCAGCTCCTCTGCCATCATGGCTGCCTACAAATGTGGATTGTTTTAAAGGGGCACTAAGTAACCTCTTACTGGACTGGAACCAGCAGTAATCAAAAGGCCTCTGGCACAGATATTTATCCAAAACAATAGGTAAGGAGGATTTCTGTCAGACTCCCCCGTAGATACATTTTGACTTATGTATTATAAATAGTGTTTAGCTTAATGTTTTAAATTCTGGCACATTATATTTACTTTATTCAAGCGCTTACATCAGTGATAGCCTTTTTGGCTTTCTCCTCTGCATTGCGGAACTCCTGCACAGCTTCGTCCACCTCAGTAGTCAGCATGGACAGATCACTCTCCAGTTTCTTCTTCTGGTTGATCAGTGCAGTATTCTGGAGCAAAAGAGTCAGTTGAAGAACTCCTTTCAAGATTTAGCTCTTAATGTATTTAGTTTCCAATGTGGTTTCTTTCCATTTCTAAAACTACTAGCTAGGACTCCTAAAAGTAACATATCAATAGTCAGAGCAGCTAAATCAGACAGTAATCAATAGGACAGAAACACTAACTCTTCCAGAAAACCACAAAGACTAGCTAGCTTTGGAAAACTAAATACCCTCTCTATGCCCATCTTTTGAAAATGTATTTATTATACTGACATCTTCCTACCTGAGTGTGCAGCAGGTTGACTCTCTCAGTGGCCTCGTGCAGCTCATGCTCAGCTAGCTTGCGTGAGCGGTCGTTCTGCTCCAGCAGAGCCCTGAGCTCCTCCACCTCAGCAGTCAGCAGGTTGTTTCGGCGCTCAGTCACTGCCACCTGCTCCTTCAGCTCCTCATTATGGTGAATAGTTTCATCCAGTTCCAGCTGAATGTCCTACAGTGACAGATCAGTGAAGTATTAAGAAACCTTACTATTCTTATCCACATACAATGAATCAGACACATCAGGTAGTTCACTGACTGGATGTATGGACTCACCTTGATCTGGACCTGCAGGCTTCTCAGGAGTTTCTGGGACTCTGAGGCCTGCCTGTTGGCATGGTTCAGCTGCACCTCCATCTCATTCAAGTCACCCTCCATCTTCTTCCTCAGGCGCACTGCCTCGTTACGAGACTTGGACTCTGCATCCAAGGTGGTCTGCATAGACTCCAGTGCTCTCTGGTGGTTCCGGCTAATATGGAGATAAATGGGTAAATAAAACTTTTATCAGGTTAGGGTGTATGTGAAGTGGTTGATTGGATTATGAGATGAAAATAGTGTCCATAAAACTTACCGAAGGCTGTCGATTTCCTCATCCTTCTCTGCCAGCTTCCTGTCAACATCAGCCTTGATCTGGTTAAGCTCCAGCTGGATTCGGAGAGTTTTGCTCTCCTCATGCTCTAGAGTACCCTGAGACAGACAGATAAGACACCTAAGTCTGAAAGACAGGGCACTTAAAGATATTCTCTTCAGTCAGGAAAATCCAATAGACTACAGAGAGGAGGAAGTGAGAGCATTTTGTAAACTCTGCTTACTTCAGCTTCCTCTAGGGCAGCTTGAACCTCACTTTTCTCAATTTCCAGACCCTTCTTTATCTTCTCCAGCTCATGGATGGTTTTCACTTCCTGACTGATTTGATCAGACAGGTCAGCAATCTCCTCTAGGAGAGTACAAATGGGCAAGTAGTTTATATTTCACAAGATGCACCTTTCCATGAAGAAGCACATTTCCAAATTGGATTGACCTGAACTACAACAGCATGTACCTTGGAGGTTTTTGTTCTCCTTCTTGAGAGTCTCCAGATGATCTAGGGTCTCCTCATAGGAGTTCTTCAGTTTAAAGAGCTCAGTGCTCAGGCCACGAGACTCTTTCTGGGAGATCTCCAACTCTGACTGGCACTCTTCATACTTCTGTTTCCACTCAGCCAGCACCTGGATGAAACAATGAGGCATTTATTCTTATTGTACATAATGCAGGCACAGTTCTTCCAAATCAAGTAACAATACAGATGCACAAATGTACTCTTATACATCTGACTAATTAGGATATTTCCCTTGAGGACAACAAATGCAATCCTCTGTAAAAGCTGCCATCAGATAATACCTTATCAAAGTTGCGTTGTTTCTTGTCCAGGGCAGCAGCTGCAGCATTGGAACGTTCCAGGTCGATGATCAGATCCTCGATTTCTGTCTGGAGCCGGTGCTTAGTCTTCTCCAAGGAGGAGCACTTGGCATTGGAAGCCTCCACTGTCTCTTCAGCCTCTTGCAGACGTGTCACCAGCTTCTTCCTAATAAGCAAAGAAATTGGCACGCGTGCCTTCAAAAGACCTTCTGCACCACTCCATTATGTAGGGTTTTTTTTTTTTTTTTGGATGGCATCAGTTTCATACTTGGTTCTCCAGTGAGCCACCTCAGTGTTGGCCTTGGACAGAGCTCTCTGCATCTCAGCCTTGGCTTCTTGCTCCTCCTCAAACTGTTCTCTCAGAAGATCACAGTCATGTCTAGATGACTGCAGTGCATGGGCCAGGGCATTCTTAGCCTTAAGAGAGCAATCATGATAGTTGAGAGCAGTTAGTTGACGTGGAGGGACTTCTACAGAAACAGCTATCAGCTCTGTGTGTAGCAATCAGTGACTGATTATGTAAACAGCTGACCTTATTCTCCTCCTCCAGCTGCTTCTTGAGCTCCTCAACACTCTGGCTGAAGGAGTTCTTGGCACGCTGGAGCTGAGAAACCATGGATTCTCGCTCTTCAAGCTTCCTGCCCAGCTCGGCTACAGAGGGGGCAGATAAAGTGTTACTAACTGGTTGGTGAAATCTAAGATTTATGAGAAAATTAAAGTTCCTTACCACTCTCAGCCTGAGCACGGGCCCTTTGGGTGGTGGTGTCATTGAGCTGCCTCTGGAGCTCTTCAACCTTGGATTTAGCTTCACTCAATTGGTCTTCATACAGGCGACATGTCTTCTCTATAGTGGCCTACAAACAAAAGATAGAAATTTTAGATTTTGTGATGTTTAGTCTTGCCCCATGCAATGTAAAAGCTTAGCATGTTGTTCATCTATCTACCTTGTTCTTGGAGAGCTGCTCCACAGTAGAGGCCAGATCATCAGCCTCCATCTTGGCCTCGCCCCTCTCCTTCTCCAGTTTCTGCTTGACTCTCTGTAGGCTGTCAATCTGCTCGCTTAGCTCGGCAACACTATCAGCATGCTTCTTCCGTAAAGCTGCTGTTGTGGCCTCGTGGTGCAGCATGGCCTCTTCAAGATCTCGCCGCAGCTTCAGAAGGTCCGTCTCTCTTTTCTTGTTGATGTCAATCTGGGCGGAGGTGGCCCCACCAGCCTCCTCTAGGCGCTCGCTCCGCTCCTCTAGCTCACGAGCCACATCCCCACGCTGCTTCTCTATTTTGGCCCTACAGGCCCGGTCGGCCTCCAGCTCTTCCTCCAGCTCCTCTGAACGAGCCTGAAGGAAAGCAGTGATCAGTTATTTTGACAAAATAATGGGCTCATGACTGCTGTATTAGGGGTTAAGACACTAGCTTTCACCTGTAGCTCTTTTATCTTCTTCTGGAGCTGATTGACAATGGATTGCACATCTTCAATCCTTGTGCTCATCGCATTAATTTCAAAGTCTTTCCTGGTTTAAAAACAAGCTGATGTAGATACATGGCATAGCATCTCACTTTTTCAGCTTCTCTTCAAGTTGCTGCTTATCATTTTCCAAGTCCATGACAGACTCCAAGGAGAGTTTCAGATCTCCCTCCAGCTTACGTTTGGCCCGCTCCAGGTCCATACGCAACTTCTTCTCTTGCTCCAGTGAGCCCTCCAGCTGATATATATCAGAAAAATTATACATGCTACATATTGTGTATATTATATTGCATGTTATTTGCTGTGGACTAAATTAGAGAATATATGTTTTAATTTTTTTAGGACATAAATTGACTCACATCATCTACTTGTTGCTCCAGTTTTGCCTTGGCTTTGGTCAGAGTGTTGACTTTGTCTTCCTCTACCTGCAGGTCATCCAGAGTCTGCTGGTGAGCCTCCTGGAGGGCCTTCTTCTCTTTGGTCAGCTTCAGTATGTTTTCATCCAAAGCTGACATTTCCTCAATCAGATTCTTCACCTAAGAGTCAGAGGAATACAAAGCAAAAACTGACACCCATTCCATTTTCCTCTGCATTATATAGTAAGGATGCCTTGTGGATCTTTCTGTAGCCACTTAGTGCCCTCTGGAGGCAATTCACTGCCCTCCTTTTCCACTCTTCTCACCTTGTTCTCGGTGGCATGTTTTTCCTTTTCCACTTTAGCCAGGGTGATCTCCAGATCATCGATGTCTTTCTTCAGCTCAGCACACTCATCCTCAAGCTTGCGCTTCTTGGCGAGCAGAGTAGCGCTCATCTCCTCTTCATCCTCCAGTCTCTCTGTGATTTCCTTGAGTTTGGCCTCCAGCTGGATCTTAGTTTTGATGAGAAGGTCACAGCGTTCCTCTGCATCTGCCAGATTGTCCTGCTCCTATGAGATAGTGGGGGGAGTATGCATCCAGTTTATTCCCACAAAACTACAGTTTTTAAACTTGAATGTGTGACTATATGAGGGGCTACCACTTACTGCCTGTAGCTGTAGAGCGAAGTCATTCTTCTCTTGGGTCAGGCTGACCTGCCTGTCCTCCAGCTCTTTACGCTTGGCCTCAGATTTTTCCAGAGCCTCCTTCAGCTTGGCCATCTCCTCCTTCAGAGCGGCCAGCTCCTTCTCGGTAGAGGCGCTCTTCAGTAGAGGTTTGATTTTGAAGAAGAGCTTCATCCAGGGCCAGTGTTTGACCGCATTGAAGGCCCGGATGTTCCACTGGATAATCTGGATAGCATCCCTGATAACAGGAACAAATAAAAGTAAGTACTTCTACTAACCCCAGATGTTACTTCTGCAGTTACTACAGGGTACATATAAAGACTGTGGTCAGTGGTGGAAGAGGTACCCAGATCCCTTACTTAAATAAAAATACATACTTACAAAATACTTCAAAATTGTACTTAAGTAAATGCACCTAGTTACTTTCCACCACTGATTGTGGTGTACTGTAAAAAAAAAAAAAAAAAAAAAAAAAAAATAAA